CCAACCCAAACCATTCTGTGATTCTACGATAAGTGACAAACAGAAGGATTAGGAGATTTAGCATAATTGGATGTTCTTACATAACTGCATTTTTGGGTGAGGGGGAGTAATCATTTTAAAATGTTTTAAAATTAATTTTGCATTGATGTTGTCACATTAATTACAGCAATTACAAAAAAACCCACCAGTGTCAACAGTCAGCACTTCTGTCTTTTTGAGTTCTGGACTATGGGAACTGTGAGAAAAGGGTTATCTAATGTCTGACTGTAATACAACACTGGCACAAATAGTCACAAATTCTCATTACGGCCACAAAAAGCCAGTGATGATGAATTATAAATTTATCAACACCGCCCCGGTTCAAGGGAGACTCTTTGGTCACAATGACTCTGTGTGCTTTTTTCTGAAGTCCGTTCTGAATCGCACCAAACAAGCAGAAATACCTCCTCGTCTTCAGTTAATGGGTGTTAAAAGCAATGCTGTCTGCTGCGTTTATCATTGAGGGCCTTCACAACAGCGATGAAAGCATCGGTGCGCTCTTAGTTTAAAAAGAAAAGTAAATCTGTACGGTGAGTATGAAAGAGTAGGTAGTTCAGCTTTTATTCGAGAAAGCCTAGCAGGAACATTACCCAACTCCACTGATGCGTTCTTGACCGCAAGTCGAGCATTACTGAATTCTTCAGGAAATGATTGCAGTTGTTAACTGTGCAGTTACCAGTGCCACCTTGTGGATACGCTGGCATAGAGCGGTGCTCGGGACAAAGCTTTGTGCTGTCGAAGCAAATAGTCTCTAGTTTGGCTGAAAAAAGAAAAAATCCCATCTTTTCCCATTACAACACGTTCACATTCTGTCAGGCTCTGCTTAGAGAATGTTTTTCGTGCTCACAGTGATAGCTGAGCTATGCAGCTACCGTTATTTTTTGTAGCTGCTGGTGAAGTTTTCTTTCCTGTGGGAGTATTTGAGCTGGTACCCAAATACTCCTTTTTCTCCTCTTTCTGAAGAATGCTGCAGGTATTTCTGCTGCATTTCTCTACCGGTTTTTAGTATGTGCCTGGTGCTGGCGAGGAGAGAAATCACATTGCTGTTAACTGTCTCAGAGACCTTTCTGATTTGGGCCAGTGGCACCAGAAAGCCTCTCCGGAGAACAGCTGAGGTGCTCAGGATGGCATTTCCTTAGTACAAAGAGCTGCTCTTCACTGCTCACGGCAGACTCCAGGCGCCTAGCGTGTGTCTTTCGGAGATGGGCTGGAATCTGCTGTCACCGTAAGCTTTCAGCTGCCAGGCTTGTCTCTTGCTCCTTCGGGGAGGGTGAGGATGGTAGGGGTGCAGAACAAAAGAGAGTGTCCGTAGGAGTGTCCTGGCGCCCTGTGTAACTGGTTGGCTGAGGTTGGGAACGCTACCTGCCGTTGCAGGTGTGCGTCTCATGCAGTGCAACACGTGTCCTGCGCCGCTGCAGCGTGCACCAGCTCCGAGGAGAGCACGCGTCGGGTCTGACTCCCAGCTCTAGTTGAACGCTTCTTTGCCTCCGAGTTTCTTAAGTCAGGATATTAGTGGTGCTTTTCTGTGGGAACATTTGGAATTGCACCACGTTGAGTAAATGAAGCCCCTCTTAAGAAAGGGCTGTATTTGGCGTTCAGATGTTGAGCTGCCAGTGGAAACTGCTGAACAGTGGGTGGTACTGTGCGTACGGTGACTTGGGATGCAGCTGGTCAAAATGCGGGGTTACAGTGACAGGGAGCAAACGAGTAGCAGGCCTCGTCCCCGGTGTGGTCACGCTTGTGTTGTCTGTTAGCAGCACGGCTTTCTTCATCGTGTAATCGTCTTCTTTGGAGTGAAGGGACAACTGACAGCTGTTGAGGGGGAACTGAACAGCCAAGTTTGACTTCGGGAAGTGACAGACTTAAAGGAGCTACACCTGACTGTATTGCAGTGTTTCCTTCCTTTCCCACCCAGGCTGAAAAAGCCAAGGTACTGAAGGGGTGGAGAGGAGCAGGCAGGCTCTCTTGTTCCAAAATGAGTTCCAAAAGCAGGCAGTGATGAAAAGGTCTTTTCAGTGCCTTGGGGAGAAGAGAAACTGTCTACACCAGCACTTGCTACAGTTGCCCTGACACCTGGAGTACGTGTCTCTCGTTTCAAGGATAATCAACACTCTTTGAAATGTTTCGTTACAGGGGGCACGCAGTATGATCGCGACCACGTCGTTGTCAGCACAGTCACTGAAGAGAAGTCAACGCAGTGTTGGGAACCACTAGTTGTATAAACCCAAACAAGCCCTGATGACGTTTGAATTGCCCGCTCTGCCAGATGCTGGAATTGGCACTGCCAGCCTCTGAAGGAGACAGGATCAACAATGGGAGTTTTGTCTTTTCTTTGCAGTTTTAAAAAAAATGAGCAACAGAATGATTTCACGTCTCTATCTAAGATTATTATCCCTATAAAATTATCTCTCAACCTTTCCTTTTTTTTCCTCTGATGGTCACAACTCCACGTGAGAGAGCGCGGTGGTATGCCTCAGGCTAGAGTGGAGAGCTACAGGTGGGAGAGCCCCCACGGAGTTACAGTTGTGTCAGTGAGTAGTCAATCCAGAATAGTCAATAAGCATAATTTTAAATTATTTTGCAAAGTTTTTTAACTGAGAGAAGGGCTACAAAATAAATAATTAAAGCTTATTTGATAAAGGACAGGACTGCAGTGTGTATGAGTATAGCAACTTGGACCTGTAGGCTGTAGTATAGAGAAATATTCACTACTGAAATTAATATATTTGTTTCACTGTAACAAACTTGTATTTACTGAAGGTGTAACGACTGCTAGCACACAGCACGTCCACGGAATTTTTAACCTGTGGCTTCAAATATAGTTAGTATGCTAATATAGTAAGTCCTAAATCAAGGGAAAAAATCTAGATTTTCTCATGTAGAGATGATGTAAATTGTAGATGTTTGCTAGGAGAAAGAGAGGGCCGGCAAAAGGATACATCGGAATGTGAAGAACTTGCCCATTTTCTAGGCTGCCTAAATTTTTGGATTACAGGTATTTCACTTCATTGCCAAGTCAAATTTTTACCTTTTAAAACAATTCCAGTTAACTATAGTCTTCCTAAACCCCAGAATCTTGTAGAAAACAAGAATTCTTAGGGAACATATCACTGAAGAGGACTGCAACAGCACCTAAGCGCTGTGGTCACCAAGTTTTTCAGCCACTGCCTGTTGGGCTTACGGCAGGGAATGCGACTCCAGATATTCCTGGTGATGCTGGAGAGGGACGCCTGCGGTGGGCTGCTGGCTCCTACTCGCTGCTGGCCAGAAGCGTCAGGCTGCGCTGGTAAGGGGCACAGCCAGGCCTGGATACATGCCCGGTCACCAGGGCTGTGCCCCTTCACCGTAGGTGTTACTGGTTTAGTAAAGAGCTTGTGGCAAGTAAGACCTGCTGGTGACTGCAGGAGGTTCTTCCACTGCCCTGCTCGTAACCTGGTTTTGCTAGTTTTCCTTAATAATGTTGGCAAAAAGGTAAAATACCAACCAAGTCTTCTACCGTGCTGCTGTGTTTTGTTCTGGCTTAGACCAGTGTTACTACAAGCTGCTCCCAGGAGCATCCAGGCCTTTGTCTTGCATAGTAAGTCTGTTTAAAATTAACGTTTTCATTACTATTGTATTGCCTCAAAGGATACTGGTGCCTTTTATCATTACCACCCTAGAGGAAGTGCCTTACTAATCTTCCTTTTGTACAGACGTACTGAAGTTTTGTTGCTCTGAAATGTGCTGCTTCCAGTTCTTCATAGAAAATGTGTTGTTATTGGTTCCAGACAGTGGTACTTTGTCATACTGATGTGCTCTTGCTATATATAATATAGCATTTTACAAATAAATTCAAGTTAGGTAACTTCTTATTGAAATTCTTTTTAAGGTAGAAAGCTGACGTTTTGCCATTAGTTTTGCTTCTGTCTTGTGCCCTTCCTTGTCCACAGTTTCTCTGCGACAGCTAACGGGGAGTGAACACGTGCTGTGGAGTAGCTGCAGGCTCTGAGGAATGGATGCTTCTCCTAGACAAGCACTTTTTCAGTGCATTTGTACATGGGGCCACAGTTCACCCGGCTGCCACTTCTGCCCCCTGGGAGAAGCACTGCGTGACACCGTTTTTCCATCACCGCAGCTGCACACCATAAAGGTGCAGCTCTCAAGTAAGAGGTGACCGCTTTCCTTCCATCTACCTGCATAATTGCAGGGGAACTCGCTCCATAGCCCATCTCTGGCCAAACAGTGAGTTTAAAAACAGACCAACAGCCACATACCCCTCAAGCACTCCACCCCCAGTGGCAGTGACAGGGCACAGCAGGAATGGGGTCTTCAGTTACTGACAACATCACGCCTGGCCTACCTGCACAAACAGCTGAATCTGGGCCAGGAGGCTGGCAGTTAGAATAATTATCAGTTACAGAGTGATTTTGTTCCATGCTTCTACTCAGATGAGTTAGGCCATGAGAGATTTGCCATATGAAGATTACAGTACTGGTCTTGAGACAGCGATGTGACCACTTCGTACAGGAAAAGCTCACAGGTTCTGAGAATGAACTAGATGGAGTGATAATATGTGTTAACAAAACTAGGAAAGGCCACGGAAGAAAGGACAAGTTTCACATGGACAACCAGACAGAAGCGTGCCTCACCATTTCAGGATTTAGCTAAAACACCTGGAAAATAAAAACTCCAAGGTCCAACTGCAAATGGTGCCAGCTGTTCCTCTCATCCCAAGAACGAAGCTGCAAAAGTCACAACTACGTTCTTAATGTGGTTTTCATGCAGAAATACCTAAGGGACATCAGTATCACAGGCAGAGTATGAAGGAGTCAGAGGCTTCTCTAAACCAAGCCATTTCTAAAAATAATGCAGCTCATGTGAGCTTTTAAAGAAGAAACAGTCGCTGCTTACCGACTCACACTGAGGTGTAATTTACTGGTAAAGGACGCGCACTGCAGGCAGAATAATGAATAGAGGCACTTTTATTTTTTACTAATTACATTGATCACGGTTTTTCCACGTGCGTGTCCTCCTTCCAATTTCAGAAAGGCCTTTGGAACTTCAGAGAAAGAGAAGACTTCATCAATAACTGGTTGAATCTACAGAATAAAGAAAAAGTGACACTATATTAGGAATAAAATAATCTATTGCTTTCACAGTTCAAAACTGCATGAAGAAAGGGGGGAGGTTTCTTTACAGTATTTAGGATAGAAGTTGCCAAATGATGTAGTCACTAGCCTTGAACTTTTATCAGGGACCCCTCTGCATACTTGAGGCAGCTTTCTGCTGCTCTTTACTCAAGTTCTGCAACATTGACAGCCCTCACCTGGGGCTCTTTAACAATAAAGTCACCCTGCAAGGCTCCAAGTCCCTTCAAAAGCTGACACAGTGGTTCTACACTTGTTGTCCACGATGACACAGGAGGAAGAGGAAGAAGGTAGGGGTTTTGTTCTACCTTTCTCCACTGGTTTTCTTGTTAAACCCAAGAATTTTCAAAAGGTCAGATGTTTTAAGGATACCCTGCACCTAGTGCCTATCTGCATCAGTATACGCCTCGCTACCCTCAAAAGGCTTGGCCACAAGTACCAAAGAAAAGTCCACAAGCATTTGTTGCTGAATCATTTAGATACACTTGAAAACTCAGCCGCTGTGTATTCCAGTAGGCATACATCATTAAGCCCAGCTTGCACCGACTGCTTCGGTGGCATTAATTTTGTAGAGTAGCCTTCTGGATTGTTTTAGGCTCTTTTCTAATAATGAAGGTGAAACTACACTATTCACTGTCCTCAAAAATAACGAAGGAGCCCAAAAACCCTATGAGGATTTTCTTTAGGCATCGTAGTGTACTGACAGGCAGAAGAAATCCCAGCTGCTTCTGAAAAACACGTGTCAATGCTGGTCCAAGGGGAGTCTGTCTACCATCAAGGTCTGAGTCAGCCTTCCAAAGGCCAAAATAGGATCTGTGTACAAAAGTACCTCCCAGGCCTCCTCCCAAAGATCCTACCCTGCCCTGAGGTTGCTCTCTTACCCTGGATCCCCTAACACCAGCCCAATGCATGTTCTTGCATTGATCTGATCCTCATGCCAGAAGGGAACATTAACAGCAGATGAATCTTAGAATCACAGAATGGTTTGGGTCAGAAGGAACCTTAAAGATCATCTAGTTCCAACCCCCCTGCCATGGGCAGGGACCCCTTCCACTAGACCAGGTTGCTCAAAGCCTCATCCAGCCTGGCCTTGAACACTTCCAGGGATGGGGCATCCACAGCTTCTCTGGGCAACCTGTTCCAGTGCCTCAACCCCCTCTCCAGGAAGAACTTCTTCCTGATATCCAATCTAAACCTCTCCACTTTCAATTTAAACCCATTACCCCTTGTCCCATCACTACAGGCCCTTGTAAAAAGTCCCCCCCAGCTTGCTTGTAGCCCCTTCAGGTACTGGAAGGGGCAATAAGGTCTCCCTGGCGCCTTCTCTTCTCCAGGCTGAACAAGCCCAACTCTCTCAGCCTGTCCCCATAGCAGAGGTGCTCCAGCCCTCGGAGCATCTTCGTGGCCTCCTCCGGACTCCCTCCAACTGGTTGATATCCTTCTGATGTTGGGGGCTCCACAGCTGAATGTAGCACTCCAGGTGGGGTGTCAGAAGAGCAGAGTACAAGAGAGAATCACCTCCCTTGACCTGCAGCTAGCTATTGCCGCAATGAAGAATAGTAACAAAGACCCAACCACTCTGTTTACTGTGCTGGAAAAGGATCCTTGTTATATGTGTCAGTGGAAAAAATATCTTTAGGCTTTTTTTCCTCACAGTTACTAGCATGCACACCACTGTCTTGTTGACTACTCCAGAACTGGTAACTGCTCGCTCCTGGTAGAACACCCAACTCGCTGAACAGAAAAGGAACACAACAGCAATAATGACACAAATAATTTGCCAGCATCAGAGTAGTGCTGTCTTTTAAAAGACTGTCTTGCTTTTACTGGAAGGCACAGGGTATGTATTCACGTGTACCTCTCAATTTCCTCTTTATTCACAGCCAGTGCCTTGCCTTGAAGTCCATTCACTGCACTAAAATAACTACTGGGTTTGCTTATATGGTAACAGTCATCCAAGACACCGATAATCTGTAACTACTACACTGCAGTACCTCCTAATCCTGTCACTAGATTCTCCTTTTTATTTTGTCAAGGCAAGCTTAGGAGTAGCATGAAGCTTTACGTGGCAGAAAAGTAGGAATGAGAGAACCCCTTCCAAAGAAAAAAGTGAGAATTATCAGCCAAATCACTATAAAAGCAACTGTGCAAATAAATAAATTCACCCAGTGCCTCCAAGCTGCCGTGCTGCAGGGTACAAGGCTGGGTAGTTTCTTGCCCTTGTTCTGCCGGGGCAGTCTCCGTAACCAGACCTCTAGCACAGGGCGTGCTGGCAGACAGCTGAGGGGCCGCAAAGACACGGTGCGACATTACTGCTGCTCAGCTGGGGAAGAGGTGTGGGGCGTGAATGATGGAGACACTCTCATGTCTGGTCAGCAGCCAGCACAGAATGGAAGTGTTGTCTCGGGCACCAGCCAAGTCGGGGACACGGACCCAGGGCAGCAAAAGCCCTGAATGGGACAATGGTTTTGGGTAGCCGGAGCATCCCAGCAAACTGCGGCTGCTGTGACAGTCGGCAGGAGGAACGTGCTGCCGATCAGCAGCGACTGTTCTGAGCAACAGCAGCCCTTGCTTTCATAGCAGAAGCTTGGGAAAACAGGACTCAGTAACCTCGTTGAGCAAAGCCCAAGTGCGGCACTTGCACAAGCACTTACTGTTAACAAAGCTGTGCTTCGGTTACGACAAAAACAGCACAGAAACCCGGCCTGCTGGAGCACGGACACAGCTGAGCCTAGCAAGAGGCTGGGAGGAGGGGAAGGTATTCGAGGAAGAGAGCAGTGCAGCAGCACAAAGGATGCTGAGCACAAGGGATGCAGAGCACAAGGGATTCCAGGAAGAGGCACAAGTTAATTTTGGACATTTGCAGCAACTGAGAAAAACAAGACACTTCAGTGTTCTGCTACCTGCAGCCTACAACCCTGCCAGAACAAGGTATGTTATGTGCTCAGCCTATCAGGTAAAGCTCAAAGCATGGCATTTGAAAAGTGGTGATGCAGGGATTCAGAGGAACCCTGAACTCAGCCTCACAGTTCTAAACACCGTGTGTATTGCAGCCAGCACACACTCAAAGCCCATCTACTACATTGATGTAACCTCCAGCTCCATTAACGCTGGCTTTAGGCAGTGCTGTACAGAGACATGAATACTAAATTGATGATCCTGACAATCTAGAGCATTAAACATTTTATCTGGCTGGCTGGTCAGTCCCATTGTCTGACTAACCCCGAAAGGGCTGACCGTGTTGCAGCACAGTGATTCACTCAGCCTTTACCATAATCCACTGACTAAGATAAAATTTCTTCCTGTGAACAGACAAACAAGTAGGGGAGCGTCTGCTGTTTGTTGAATGTGCGATAATAAATGGAGATTAACCGGATCATAAAAACACTGCCTATTTACAGCCACACATCAGTTCCTTGCCAGAGGACACCTATTTGTTCAGGGAAAAGGGATTAAACTAAAGTCTGGGAGAGAAAGGATTTCACACAGCCGCATTGAAATGTTTCTCTGAAAACAGACTGGGCCTGAAAGGTATTTTCTTCCTCTTCATTCTCTCCGATGCAGGACGTATACTATAGAAATGACTCTCAGGTCTCTTGAAACGAACTCATGTGTTTGGAAGAATAAAACGGGTAATTGCTGATGCTGATTAAGGCTATCCTACATACAGCACAGAAGTGGTATCCCAGCCAAGCCAGCTCCGAACGCAGCGGGCAGCGGAGAGGCACTGG